GTCTGCATAGGAGCACCGGTTGGAGAGATTGTGGAAGTTCTTTTCAGCATCCCTGTAACTAGAAAGAAACACAAAAGTGGTGCATGAAAACAAAACAAAAATAAACTAGGCATCTAGAATGACTGAACGTACAGAAGGACAAGCCTTCTCAGGAAGAATCAGCATGGCTTCTTCAAAGGTTAAGTTCTGCCACGTCCACATTTTGAGTTATTAAAGCATGCCAGATGGGAGTAACCCAGGAACTTTGGACTTCCACAACATCCCTCCTCAAAGGCTATGTGTAAACTTAGCAGTCAAGGGATAAGAGGAAATGTGCTCTCATTGGCTGGCGACTGGCTAAAGGACTGGGAACAGAAAGCAGCAATAAATGATTAGTTAGAGCCGCTGCCCAAGGACTGGGCACTGGGGCTATATAAATCTCATAAATGACTAGCAGGACCTGCAACATAATGTTGTAGTGCATCCAGTCGTCTAAGAGGACTCCAAACAACCTGGAACAGTGATCTCGGAGTGCTGTTCAGACCTTTTGGAGGAGTTTGAGGAGGAGGGAGGGTAAAAGGACCACTCCCCATGACCTCCCCTTGCTAGGTAATACAGCACTAGGAGGCTTCCAGCTCCAAACATGAGCCCTATGTAGTGGGGACGATTGGGGGAGACATGCAATTCTGGAGAGTGGGGAAAATGTGTTTTCACGTCCCTCTTCTTGAAACATAACTGTGGAATGAGTGTGTATGAGGGAGCTTCTTAAAGCTCACGGCACACATCCTCCCCCAACCTTAGTCTCCCACTTTTTAGGCTTCTCCCCCTCCTGCTCTCAACCGTAAATTTAATCAATAAGACTCCCACAATTTACCTGACCTGGTTTCTTTAGACCTTTGTATTCTCTTCCTCTCTCCCTCCCTCCCACCAAATGCTCAATCGCTACCAGCATTCTGTAAGCAAAAGGTTCATGACAGACAGTTTCAGGGGTTTTCAGAAAAGCATATACAGCATCTTTTAATTTACAAGCTTACAGAATTTTGCATAGCTATGGAACCTTCGTTTTGAATGGCCCTGTTCTGCTCCAAATTTGACCCTCCCTGAACCCACTATTAGATTGAATCACCTACAGTCAGAAGCACGCAAGTGAGATGGTCAAGCTTGTGGGGGGGGAAACATACTAAATGGTTCAGGAAGGGGAGAGAAAAAGGGGTGGAGTTCTGCAGGCAGGACAGACACACACACACTCCCTGTCTCAAGCCTTGAGTCTGAGGAATACAAGCTTTAATGGAAGAGCAGCTCTTTTGCCAGAAGTTTTCCACTCCCTTTCTCCCACATCTGTTCTATATTCTGCATCAAGCTATGAGTAAGGATGCACAGGCGACTCCCCAAGCAATAGCTCTCTCTCTCTCTCTCCCTCCCACTCTACCCCAAGGGGTTCTCCAGACGCGCCAGCCTTATTAACACCGAGGACAGCGCTGCAGCTCAGCTTGACAAAAGAGGCTATGCGGTGCACAAGGGCGACTCCCTAAAGCCTAGAGAGTTTCAGAAACCTGGGATGAATTTTTTTGCACCTAGGCATACAGCTGATCCGACTTGTACAGCATGCCAAAGCTGCCAGGGCACCCGGGTAATTACATAGGAGCCCACGGCAGCAGTTGGCATTTGCCCCTTGTTACTGCTGCTTAACCCATCTTGGCAGAGGCTTCATCCAAACTATATAGGAAAGGTACAGTGGCCAATATAAACAAGGCGTAGGCAGTTACTCAGGGCTGTTAAGGGTAAATCTCTGGACCATATATAATCTGATGCTGCTACTTGGGTCCATTTTTAAACTGGGGGTGGGGCGGGCGGCAGAGTACTGTTTCTATATATTGGTGCAAATGATCAGCTTTTATGGGCTTGCCAGTCTTATTGTAAAGGCAGTCAAGCCTGGATAGCTCAGTTGGTTAGAGCATGGTGCTGATAATGCCAAGGTTGCAGGTTCGACCCCCGCATGGGACAGCTGCATATTCCTGCATTGCAGGGGGTTGGACTAGATGACCCTCAGGGTCCCTTCCAACTCTACAATTCTATGATTCTAAGGCGATATACGCTCAGCAATTGCTCTAGCATCCCATGGATTTGGTACAATTGCATCAACAATGTGTACTTCAGGCCCCTGGAAATAACATTCAGCTCAGAGGGCCAGACAATGAAGGCGGGTGTCGTCCTCTGATCTGACTAGCGGCACTTGCAGTTTTCCAGGCGCCACACAATATTCATGCTCCTCATTCGTGAGGAGTCACTCCTTCTGGAACTCCGCATCTAATGGCATGGGGCAGTTGCCTTCGCTGTGCTTCTTTGAGGCTGGCTGAAAACTTTCCTATTTCAACAAGCGTATCCAGACACATGGGGCCGTTAGCCAACAAAACAGATCCACTAGCAAAAGAATTTCCATTTGCACAACAGAACTTCCCCTCTCTCTTCTCTCCGTGTGCCCCCACACTCTCCCCAGATCTGCTCTGTGTAAGAACAACGGCCCCTCTAAGTCCAGCATCCTGTTCTTCCAGTGGCCAACCAGATCTATGAGAAGCCTGGAAGAAAGGACATGAGGGAAACAGCATTCTTCCTATTGGACTAGACGGACCCAGCTCCTGATGACTCCAGGGGCAGGGGCAATGCAAAAGGCACTGTGGAGCAGGGCTGGGCGATATCTGGTTTTCAACATTGCTCTATACCGAATCACCAGCTAAACATCGCAATATATCAATATACCACAATGTCTGAAATAAGGATGGAGCTATGTAAAGGCATTGGCTGGCTTCGCGGGTTTCCCCCGCATCGTGATTTTTGCCAGCGCCTGCTCTTGCGATTCGCTGCCCCCCTTGCATAAGCCAGGGGAGAGCTGATCTGACAGAGTTAAGAGGGGCTGTAGGAATCGAGAGAGAGAAATTTGGGCTTCACGGTTTTCCCCACGTTGTGATTTCTGCATAGCACATATCATGATATATGGCCAGGTCAAAAATTATGAAACTGGTATCCAGTGGCGGAGAGCAGGCCCCGGCCCTGGGGGTGTGGCATGTGTCCTGGGGGCATGGCACTCCGCCTGAGGGGGCGTGGTGCCCAGCACGGGCAGGGGGCAGCCATGATGGCACCCCACCATGATTGCGCTGCTGGGGGCGGTGCGTTCCCCCTGCACTCCTCTTCCTCCACCACTGCCGGTATCACGATGTAAACTTCAAGCTGGTTTTGGACATATATCGATATACCACCCAGCCGTACTGTGGTGCAGGTCTGAAGAGGAAGGAGGGGCTTGTGGCTCTCACCATAGACAAGGGTGAGGTGGGAAAGCAGGCTGAGGGCCCCCACCCCACTCCCCAGGATCCTCATTATCAGGCACCCCCAAGTCTGGCAAAGACCTCCCCATCTCACTAGAGACCTTTCCCCAGTTCCCCGGTAAATCATCCATCTGCATCGTGCTGACTCGGCCAGCTATCAGTATCAGACTCATCCCAGTATCAGAAGCAGTACTGGGAAACACAAGCAGGAGAGTGCTGTGGTCCTCTTTGTGGACTTTCCAGAAGCCTTCACAATTGGCCACTGTGGAAACAGAATGCTGGACGAGAAAGGACTTTTCCAAAGAAAAAGTATTATCATAAACATAGTTTACTGTATTGCTACAACACCATTCCGCTTCACTCTTTCGGCTATCAACACAGCTTTTCCTTTCCTTTCTAACAACACAGTGTTACTCACGTATGTAAAGCATTAACTGGAGTAGCACATTCTCTCTAGCAAGGACTAGGTGATGTATTCTTACGTTTAGCACAATAGAAAGGCAGTCTGGCCGAGGTCTGAAATAATTTCCACAAGGCAAATATATCTGAACTGTTTATAAATAAACCATTACATGATTCATTCTACAGAAAGGTCATAGGACTGTATTTACACTCTGCTAAAAAAAAATCAGAATCCTGAACCGGGGGGGGTGGGGTGGATCCAACTACCTTTTCCTTTTTAAAACAAAAAAAGGTAATCCTGTCCCCATAATTAGTTATGTTATTTGGTCTGATTTCTTTATTGATCTCTTCTGCAAATACTCCAAGAAGTGTGCAACATTAGCATTTGAAACAAAACATTACAATACAATACAATTCACAAGCCACATACAGTTTCTCCATAAAATAGTCCCAAAATAATAAAAACTAAATGTTTTTAAAAAACCTGTCAAGAGCTCAATCCATATCTTTCCCTTCCCATGCTGTTGAGCACACACACAGCATTTCTTTGAGCCAGTAGCACAAAGCTTTCCCCAACTTATAAAATAAGCTGAGCTACTTCTCAAAAAACTGGGAAGTAGCGCCACAAAGGGCTTTTTATTTTATTTTTTTGGCTGGAACTCACTGGAACTCAGTTCTGGCACCTCTCAAGGTGGGCGCCATCACCATTATAAGAGAAAAAGGGAGCTGTTCATGGTGTATTCCAGCACCTCATTTTCTAGAAAAAACCTAGTTCCACATATTCCTGAGGGAATCCAAATTCACCCCTAGCTGAGTCTTAAATCCCATTCTGTTTCTTACAATGCATCCCATACTGAGGGCTCATCCATACGTCTGTTTGTCCCGTGATTTCTAGGAACTGCTTTCCCCGGAAAACCCACTCTTTACTGTATCTAAGAGGGTTTTCTGCCCTATTAATTTAAGTTTAACGTTTGTTACGTTAACGTTTGTGGCGATTCAGTGGTAGACAGTAGGTTTCCCCAGGGAAAGGGGTGGGACAAAAAAAAAAAAAACACCTCTTGAACCCATTCCTTAGAAATCATGGGACAAAGAGAAGCGTGAATGATCCCTAAGAGAACTTCCTTGGCTGTGGACAAAACTGTATCAGTAGCTTATAACAAATAAACGGATCTTTCTGCGTTGAGAAGAAGAAAAAGCTAGCCTAAGCTGAGCAGTTGTGGGCATCCGAATTATATGAACAGCAGCACCACAGCCATTTGAGAATTGGCATAACAAGCTAGCAATGAAGAACGCAAAGGGGGAAGGGCCATAGCTCAGTGGCAAAGCGTCAGCTTTGTATGTCAAAGGTCCCAGGTTCAATCCCTGAGGTCTCCAAGTAAGGACAACTTCCTATGCGCCTATGAGGTGTTCATGTTAGCAAACATCATAGAATCATAATGTCATTTGCTTCTTATTGTCACCACCATCTATCTATCCACTTCCCATTTTTTGAGAAATGCGCTCTACTTACCCAATAACTTGATGCTCGTAATGTTGCAGTGTCCTCTGGAGAGTCTGCCTTATGGTCTGAGGCTACAGAATAAACAAAGAAAGAATGGTTTTGTTTTTTTATTTTAAAAAGTTATTAGCAGTTCGTCAGCCAGCCTAGCGCTCAGCACGATGTCTGGAGGTGACTACTGATTTTATCGCTTAATTGTGTGTTTCTTTCCCGATTACACTTTTTCTCTCTCTCCTCACACATCTGCTGTGCTTCCCCCAGAGAAACGGGAAGAAAGCAGCCCAGAAGTAGCAAGCTGTTTTTGTTCTACAAACACATCAATATTTCAAGGCTCTTCCCTGATATTTTAGTCCTCCGTTAAATCAGCAGTGGTTTCTTTAGCCAGCGCTGCTTAATACAAAAAGCAGCAAACAGAAAACACAACGGGCCCATTCACAAGTCGCAGCGCATCATAAACCATAGCTTATCGTGCACAACTGACTCAGGCACATTTCGCTCCTCTCCACTCGTGCCGAGAGCAATAAACACACAATCCTCTGGCTTAGTGTTACATCTTAACCAGAGATCATGGTTTGTTTCATGTACAACAAACCATAATCTGCAGCCCAAATTTGCTCTTGATCATGGCAGAGACATAGCGTTCAAACATAATACTAAGACGGGAATTATGGTTTGTTTTCTCCTGGTGAAAAGAAAGGTGGACATGGTTCACTCATGAGCAGTACGCCACATGATAGCTTCCAGCAGCCAATCGGAAGCCACTTTCCAAAAAACTTTCGCAAACTCACTTCCAGGTTTGCGACATTCGGGAACCAATTTGTTAAACAACTAAGGAGTTCGACTACCAAGGTACGGCTGTATTTCTTACCCACCCTTCACTGTAAGAGCCCAGCGCAGGTTAGAAAAATGCAATAAAAAATTCTGAAAACAAACTGCTACAATTAATTCTTTAAAAAAACATTCATAAGGGATCAAAGCAGTACAAATGTGAGGACCACAAAACAAAATACCTCAAAGGCTAACTTAAAAAGGTGTATCATCAGATTATGGTGAGAGCTGTACAGTACACTGAATATGATAGACCCAGCTCTGTGGAGCCAGTCACAGGGAAAGCCCTCTCCTGGGCTGCTATTCCCCACACTTTGAGCAGGGAACAACCAAGAGGGCCCACTTTGCTGATCTCATCCCCCGAGAAGGTGGGTAGGGATTAAAACAGTCTTGTATGCATAAGGTTTATATGCTGCTCAACTTGAATTGTCACCAGGCCAACTCACAATTTAAAAATCAATAGAAAACAAATACAGTGGTACCTTGGGTTTAAGAACAGTTCTGTTTACAAACGATTCGGTTCACAAACTCCGCAAAACCAGTAGTGTCCCGGTTTGCAAACTTTACCTTGGTCTTAGAATGGAATCTGAATGGTAGAAGGCCTCATTAGGGGAAGTACACCTCGGTTTAAGAACAGTTTCGGTTTAGGAACAGACTTCTGGAACGGATTAAGTTCATAAACCGAGGTACCACTGTATTATCAAGTAGAACAAGCAATACAAAAGTTGCACCAGCAGAAAAATGAGTGTAAAACCAGCATAAAACTACAAAGAAACGCAAGAGCAATAAAGAAACAGCACTAAAAAACAGGAAGGAAAACATAACTATGAGACAGTGACAGACACAGGCAGGAGAAAAAGGCCGGAATGGATCTGTAGCTTCTGCTCGCATCTGTCACTGGAAGCAGTCTCCTGCTTTCTGCCATTGCTGGAGCCAATCACCCAAGCGTCACTTGCAGATCCATTCCAGCCTTGTTCTTCCGCCTGCATCTCTCTCTGCTTCATTCCTCCTCCCTTCCGCCTTCATCTCTCCCCATCAATGCTTCCCTGAGTCATGGCAGCCGAGGGAGCCAGGGTTGCCACCTCGTACTGTCTCTTCCCTACTGCAATACCTGTAGGAGTTCTTATATGACAGTGATCATTCATTTGGCATGCATCTTGATTTGCTAGCAGGATGTTTCTATGTCCCCCATTTACAAACCTTTCTTCATCCCATACTTTTCAATGCATTTCCCTGTCACTTTCCAAATTGCAAAGAAGTCCCATTCTTTTTTCAAGTGGATTTGTTGAGCTAGAGCGACAGACCACTTTAACCTACTTTAATTGTGCAAACCTAAATTTCCAGGCATGTGCTTGAATCCCTCCTGCAAAATAGTGACAGTCTGAAGGCACTTTAATTTCGCATGGCACAGCTGATGTGTGTGTTTGAGCCTGCAAATGCGTGGATAAAATGGTTGCTATTTATTGCAAAAACAAAACTGGGAAGATTACTCACATATTACTTAATTTTGATAAATGTGGCTTAAAAACACACATTAAGAAAATCAGGCTGGCAATAATGATCCCTGCGTGGACTCCAAATTGCAGAGGTGAATATAAATCGCTTTTAATTACGTGTACTTCAATGAGGGACCTTGAACTTCAGCTGTATTTTAGGTCTCGAACGCTGAATTCAGTCATCTTTCCCCTGTCCTGTCAATATGCAAGAAAAGGAAGGCCATCATGCCAAGTCAATTTAATAAAAATTGCGATAAATCACAGTTCAATTATTCTCGCTGCAACGGCAGCACAAACGAAAGATCCATACAATGCCCAATATCGGCCGTAAGTAGAACGCACAACTTGTAGGAGCCTTCTTCTAACAGCAGGAGCTAGCAATTTACCTGGCCTTTTGCATTTAGATGTGCAGCTCAGCATAGACTCGAAAAACAAAGAAGGGAAATAGGGTTAAGCCTTTGAACAGGTTTGGGATTGTTGTTGGTTTTTTTTTAAAAAAAATCAAGTTGGCAATTACATCTGCTCTCAGCAGGAGTCAAATTTACTGTCTCAGGAAAGCATTTAAAAATCCGATGTGCTCTAGCAAAATAAAATAAAATAAAAAATCAACATAAGCTCTATCTAAATGAGACCACACATAAGGAAGCAGCTTCCTCCCATTTGGAGAAGCAGGTGTTTAAAACCTAAGGACCTGATGGAGCAGAAATTCTCTTCAGATGCTGCTTGGGGGGGATGGGGGAAAGGTCAATTGAGCAGCTCCACAGCACCAATTTTTGCTGAGAAGAAAGGGATAAAAGAAGAACACAGTGTTCATCTCCCAGGAATTAAACTCTTTCTCCATTGACTTTTATCTTGAAACCTGAGGTCAATTTGACCAGTTGCCAGATTTTGCACAATTAAAATGAAACAAAGAAAAACTGGCAACTCTATAAAGACAATACGCAATTAAATTACGCAAACAGTAACCTGTCTCTTTTTTAAAAAGCATTTGTTTCGCTTTGCATTATTCACCAGCGTCAAGTGCTCTTAACCTGTCTACGTCCCTATCTTTTTGTTACTATTATTATTCATTGAATTTATCTTCATTTGCATCACTTTCATCATACGATTCCAATTCACAGATACCTGCAGTTACAGGAAAACAGAAAGCCAGGACAAAAATGTTTTCTGCAGCTGTGAGGTTTTGTGGAATAAAAAGCTGTCCTGTCTGAAGCAAAGCATTTTAGAAACATGTCCTTTCTCACTTGTGGTAAAGACTACAGGCCCTATCTGCCTTAGGTGTTTAAAGCAGTGTCATACCACATTGAACACCATGGCTTTCCTCAAAGAATATTGGGGACTATAGTCTGTTAAGAGGGCTGAGAGTTTTTAGAAGATCCGTGTTCCTCTCATAGTGTTACAAGTGCCGGAGTAGCTTAACAATCGCAGGGGTAATCGTAGCTCTGTGAGGGGAATATGGTCATGTACCACAATACATGACTGGTGACCGTGAGCCAAATCCACCCTGGTTGATCGCAATTAGAGCATCAAAATTAGGAAACTACTTTTGGTATCATATATTTTGGACGCCTCATTACACAGAGCGCCTCCGGCAGCGACTTCGCAGTCTAACCTCCAAGTTCATTATCTCATGAGGATATGTGACACTTACACCAAAGTCACAACTGTGTGTTATCACTGTGGTAAATGGACAACAGCTAACTGGTAAAATTTAATCCAGATTCTCAGCCACACACATTTAGGAAAGAAAAACAACAAGAAGAATCCCAGGTCTTATTTAAGAAAAGGCATGGCCCACCCAGTGTTTCAAACCATGCTGATTCTGCCTCAGGAGAACTTTTCTCATAAGCCACAATTAAACATGGAGGACTTCTTGTTCTAAACACTTGCTAATTTTGTAATGATAACATTGCTATAGTTGTTGTGAGGTTATTGTGTGTGTTTGTGTTTACAGTGGTACCTCTGGATGCGAACGGGATCGCATCTGCGTCACCGTGTCTGCGCATGCACGCGACGTCATTTTGAGCGTCTGCACATGCGCGAGCTGCAAAACCCGGAAGTAACACGTTCCGTTACTTCCGGGTCGCCGCGGAGCGCAACCCAAAAACGCTCAACCTGAAGCAACTTTAACCCGAGGTATGACTGTATTTCTTTTTCTAAAAAAACACCACAATATTTACTGCTGCTTTGCAACTTAACTTAATCTAGAGTGGATCCTTTGGATCTCTTTCCTACTCCCTAGTAAAATATCTTCCCTACCCCAGTTGTTGTCAGGGGGCAGGCCCAGTCCTACCATTAGGCACAGAAAAGGAACTGCTTCAGGCAGTAGGTGTCCCTCCCAATAGTCTCCCTAAGCCGTTAAACCTGCTCTGCACCTCTTAAGATAGCCTACTGCACTCAGGTACAGGATGCTGTTCCAAGGCTGGTGCTAAAATAAGATTCAACTACCAATCCAGTTTATTGGGGGGTGAAGGAGGAACACCGTATTATCCTTTGCTTCAGGCAGCAAAATGTGTCGGGCCCAATAAGGTGAAAGATAGGGGACTCTTAAT